GCAAATTTCAACAAAATGAGAAGAGTGCTATGTACAAGAGATTTAAAATTGGAACTAAGAGTTAGGTTGGCGAGATGCTATATTTTTTCGACTTTGTTTTATGGAATTAAATCTTGGACCTTGAACGCGACATAAATGAAAAAACTGGAATCACTCGAGCTGTTAGTGTATAGAAGAATTCTGAAAATATCGTGGACACAATACGTCCCAAAAAAATAGGTTCTGAGAAGGAGGATTACAAAAATATAAATTTTAAATACAATTAAAACAAGACAATTGGAATATCTCGGAATAAAAGTAGCGCAGTCAGTAGAATTTCCAATTGGAAAAGTAAAGCCTTTTTTTAATCGATTTTAATCGTTAATTGGAAAATTGGAGAATTAGTGACTTAGTATTTGAGTTCCGAGTGTAAGGCCACGAGGAAGGAAAACTGAAGGAACCCGTAAGCAACTTAGAAGAATTCCAAGTGTAAGGCCACTTGTTGTGTAAAGCCACAAAGTAATTCGGAAGTTCTGGGGAGGCGCAACTAGCAAATTCGTGAAATCTTCTCAACCAGCTTCAGTAAAAAGCCACTCGACCCTGGAAACGGTGAAGCATTTCCACAGAAGAAGCAACAACATCTCGCTACTATACCGACTACATACAGTTCATAATTTCAACCAGTTCCAGTGTAAACCCAGTTGATCCAGAAGATACAACGTTCTCCACCCGTTCTCTACCCGTTCCAGTGTAAATCCACTTGATCTGAGACGCACGGAAGTACTTGAGGTTAGTCGAATTATATTATTTTTTTATTTGTTTTCATTTTTTTTATCTACTCTGTTTCGCAATTTTCAAACTTTCAAGCTATCATATCTAGTATTTGCATTTGTTTATTTGTTTAATTTATTTTTGTTAATACAATGGCAACTAACGACGTAACAGCAACTACGCCAATAATTTCTGCTACCACCTCTAATAATTATATTAATTGTGACAAAGCTATCAAGCTTATAAATGTTTTTGATGGGTCTTCTTCAAAATTACATTATTTTATACATTCTGTTGATTTTATTTTTGCAAAATTTGACCCAGCGGAATTGCAAATTTTTCCTTTTATCGTAAAAAGCAGGTTATAGGGAAAAGCTCTTGATTTCATTGGCTCGAAAGAATTTTCGACATGGCACGAAATAAAAAATGCTCTCCTTTCTCAGTTTGGAGAAAATTTGGATTTGCAGTGTCTAAATTTTGAGTTATGTCACTTTAAGCAAAGTTCTAATGAAAAACCTACAGTTTCGTTTATAAAATTGAAAAACAATTAATTAGAATCAATAAAGTTATCAAATACGATTCAAATTTGAACGAAGTTGAGAAAGAATGTTTAAATAATTTTCACAATAAGACTGCAATTCTGACCGCTATTACGGGCATAAAAGAACCTTTGTGTCAAATGCTTCGCTCTTTAAATCCTAGTTCGTTAATTCAAATTAACGTGTTTTACACAAATGACAAGTTTTCTAAATTAAATATAAATAATGACAATAAAATTTCGTCAAGTACTGTAGGTACTCAAAAAACATTTTCTGATCCCGGTTCAACAAATCAATCGATAAATCCACCAATTAAATTAACTATTCCAAAGTGCACTGTTTGCCATAAATATGGACAAAAAGCAGAAAAATGTTATCGTAAACCACAATCTCACAATGTTGTTCATAATACCTATTGCGACAACGATAGTTCAGAAAAAGAAATATAAATCGAAGTTGATCATGATTTTTTTAGAGCAAGTGCCGCTGACAACGTTACAGTTTACCAAGTAGCAAATAAACCGCTTCTTTACGCGCATATTAAAAATTTGAATTTAAAATTATTAATTGATTCAGGGGCAGCAATATCAATATTGAAACCAGGTAAAATTTTAGACTCTTATCACTTTAATCATGAAACTTTTAAAATATTTGGTATTAATAACGAACCAATTCAAGTTACAAAGAGCGTAAACTTTAAGTTATTTTCAGGTGTTCAAAAATTCTATATAGTAGACATAAATTGTCCTTTTGATGGAATACTTGTTATGATTTTTTAGAAAAGAATAAATGTGTTATTGACTTTGGTTTAAATACTTTATTTGCTAAACGTGAAGAAATCCCATTGTTTCCATCTGATCAGGAACATAATATACTTAGTGTAAATAATATACAAGAACATCAAATCCGAAGTAATGTTATCGGCTTAACTGAAAAAATCGATACTATTGTAAATAAACGAAAATTAGAAGTTCTGCCAAGAATTCGATTAAATCATGTCTATCAAAAACAAAATGATTATACCGAATTTGAGAATATTAAAACTAACTTAGATTTAAATAATTTTCCTACTCTAATGAGCAAATTTTAGACGTTAACAATAAGAATATTTTATATCTATACGATGAAAATGACAGAAATGTAAATTATTTGAAATAATCAATGATAATTTTCCCACTGTTGGTGACTCGGATTTTGAAAAAAATATTAAAGTTATATAACGAAAATCGTAGTAGAGAAATTACTATAGTTAAAGTTAAGCCACACCATTGCCTTGAGAATTTTAATACTTTGAAAAAACTAGTATTAGTTCGAAATAAAACTTATTGCATACCTTATATTGAAAGTAATATTTATTATAAAATGCTGTTTCCTTTACCCAGACGTTAAATTTATAATTTGTCAAAATATCGTTACTATGCCGCCTGTAGAAGATAGGCAAAGGATAATATTAGAATATCATAACTACCCGGGTAATTATCACAAAGGAATTAATGAAACTGCAGAAAATAACCGAATTTATTACTCTATGCCCTTACTTGTCAACTCTCAAAATTTGATCGTAGGAATCGTACTCAAAGTTTAAATGTAAGGCATTCTCCGGAGAAACCATTTGAGGCTTTATCTGTAGATCTGTTCTTTTTTGATAAACAAAAAATGCTCACCGTTATAGATAATCTAACAAAATTTGCACAAGCGTATATTTTTACTGATAAAAACCCAGAAACGATAATTAGTAAATTAAAAAATTATTTTTCGCTTTTCGGCCTTCCTAAGATGATTATGTCACATCACGGGGGTGAATTTAATAATAAAAAGGTGCAAAGTTTTATTAATTCATTGAATATCGAATGGCACCTTACTTCGTTTGAGTATCATGCCTCTAACAGTATAATTGAGCGCTTCCATGCTACCATAACAGATACTTTGCGAAGTTATCTTTTAGAACATAACCAGTGCGACTTAGAAGATGCACTTTTAGTCGCTATACATTCATATAATTCTAGTAAACATCATTCAACATCCACTACACCCTATAGTTTACTATTTCCAAATAAAAATGATAGAGAATTTGATGAAATTTCGTATAATAATCGGTTAGAAAATATAAGGGAAAAACAATGATAAACCGTTTTGATAACTTAAGAACGAGCAACTTGGAAGTAAAGTATAAAGTTGGAGATAAAATTCTCTTAAAAAGACCAAGAAATCCAAATACACCAAAATCGGTACTAAATACAGGATCATATGTTGTTTTTGAGGTCAATGAAACCAATAAAACTCTAAAAATTAAGTTAGATAACGAGGATATTCGAAAATTTCATTTTAATAATGTAAAACCATTTTATGATGCGATTAACTAGACGAAGTTGAAGTGTAACACGGCAAGTAGTAGATATGATCTTTCATTATCCATATTATAAAGGGATTTTAATCAATAATAACTTTACTCAATAGTAACATATAATTCGATTACCTTGTGGTACACTTCATCTACGGCCTTCTCATAACAACAAAAGTAGAATGAGTTATTGCCGGTTGTTTTTTTTTGTTCCATGTGGCCCTACCTGCCCTGTGTGGAGTATGTCTAGAGAGGCGCCAAAACTTCGAAGCTGCAAAAGAAGCCCTATGTCAATATTCCAGATTCCTTCGGAGATGATAAAGACCCACGCCGAGAATCTCTAAGTGTTTACGTTATTATCAAGAACTATGGGAGGTTTTTTTGATATATTTGTAGTCCTTAAAAAAAGTAAAGTTCGTGTAACCTTCTGGCTAAGGTCTAGTGTTAGGGTTTTCAGGTCGCGCAAGCGCCCCTAACATGACTTAACGACTACTTTCGTAGCCGGGACCGACGGCTTAACGTACCCTTCGAAGCACGGTGGCAGCTCAGTTAAATTAGAAATTTTTTAAATTTTTGTCGGTGCCGGGATTTGAACCGGGCCCTTCAGCTTGTTAAGCCAGTAACATAGCCACTAAGCTACGGCTGCCACTGTAGTCCTTAAGTTAGTATACTTCTGTACCCTAAACTGTAAACATTTAAATAAATTTGTGCATTTCCTTTAGAGTTTTTTCGTTACTTAATTCTCCATTGAACACATATCATTTTATAAAGAATAAAAGTGTTATACCATTATCTACGTTTAGATAAATATTTAAAATCTGCAATTCGAAATAAATTGACGTTTATGCATTTTATCATTTTTTTTGTATAAATATGCGAAATCCCAGATATTTGCAATATACATTTTGTACATTTGCCTAAGTCTTATTAAGTTATGTATTATAGACTCAAACCATTTTGAGATTAGCAAGCTAGTGTAAAATGTAACAATATATTCTTCATAAAAACTAAAAATCTATCTTAAGAAAATTTTTGTTCCTTTGTGCATTCTTTGTTCATCAACACCGCAAGAGCATTAAATTGTATTACTTCAATTATATAGTGTGCCGACACCTCGTCTGATTAAATTCATTATAATAGGTTTAGTTCGTACCAGTAATTTAACCCTAAAAAATATCTGCCTGTATCACATTTAAAAGCCAGAGGTTTAAAGATCAGACAAATTGACTTTTACTAACAATTTTAGCAACCCGCCTATTTTACTAAAAAATTAAACAATGCAGCGCCCTTCATAACTCAAATCGGCGTGGTACGGTGCTAAGCACAACCAGCGCTCTTAATCAACATTAGTAAACCAACTCGCACAGTAAAAGCATCGAAACGATAATACCCAAACGTGGTTTACGTCGTTGATTTTAATTGTTGCAGTGGTGCAATCGGTCTGTATCCTTGTTGGATCGAAAGTAAAAAAGTTGAAAGTGTTGATAGACATGAAAATAAATAGAGTGAATTATTACATAGGCTGACACTGGTAAGTACACATAAATTTGTACAACTTTGCTTTAAAATATATAGCAAAAAAAACGTAATATTGTTCTGAAGCTATTTTCTTGTGACACTTTAAGTCACTACCATTTAAATGGGAATAAGCAACAATTAAAGGTTAAAGTAAGTTTATTGACGTTTCAATTTTCACTTCGGAAATCGTTCTCAAAATACAAACCTTTAATTTAAAAATAATACTTTAATAATAATTTGTATTTTGAGAACGATTTCCGAAGTGGAAATTGAAACGTCAATAAACTTACTTTAACCTTATTGTGGCTTATTCCCATTTAAATAGTAGTAACTTAAAAGACGTAAATTTTAACTTAAATATTCCCAATAAATAATTAAAAAATATTAATATAATGCAGTTTCATGATAGGATAATAATTACTATTATAGATAAATGTTCTACATCAATTGTAATATAAAACTTATTAAGGTTTCCAATTTCAGAGGTCAGCCGAGTTTATACATAAAAATGCACACGACAAACAAAAATATACGTTTAGATAAATTTCATAATATTTTTGAACAACATATATTAGAAAACCTGCAAAAATAATACAAGTATATAATTATAAAATAAATGTTCTCAACAAATCAAACATATATTTAAATGTATTGGATAATTTGAAAAATTAGATGGAAAATGCATGTCAGTGTTTACCTTTATACAGGGCGGGCAATAAAGAATGGGCCAAATTTTTTCAGAAGCCAAAAATAATATTTTACTTATCTCTAGGAAGCATATCATGGCTATTTTTGACCCAACGTTTTTTCATATCAATTTTTTCATAAGATTTTGGATAAAATTAATTATGGCTTAATGTATTCCTTCATACATATATACACAAAATAGAATTGAGAATATTATAGTTTATTTTTATGAACGAGAGAGTAATTAGCATAATTTTAAACTGGTACCTTCGACCACTCCATGGGCGTGCTCAAGATTAATTGAAAAATTACTTTGAATAATTGTAAAAAATAAATGAATTATTTCAGTGTTATAAAGTGTTATGTGTATGTAAACAAAAGTGACCTCTTTTATCACACACTATATTAGAACTGACTGGCCTACATTAAAAAGGGTTTTAAAAAATTCACATTTTTTTAATTTTTAAAAATTACAAAAGAGAAAAAGAGTTTTTAAAACCGTCTAAGGTATGTTAAATGGATGAATAAAAATATTAATATAAAACTTACAGCTACTTGTTACAAATCCAAATCAGATTCAGAAGATGAACTTTCAGAACCAAGATTTATAATAACTGGCTCGATCATTTTATCAGTAATATTGTCCAGCTTCCACATTTTTCCTCTTCTTTAATAGTGTGATTTACTGCCTTTTCCCAGTTTTCAGGTTTTACATTATTTACGGCCTCCAAAAACAACTGTTTAACATAATGAATTTTAAAAGTGTTATTTTTTCTTGAAACTTCACTCTTTATCTGTGCCCATACCAGTTCAATCGGGTTTAATTCACAATGATATGGTGGGGATCTAAGTACTGCCATTCCACGATTTTTGGCAATTTCATCAATTTCGTATTTTTTAAATTTTTCTTTATGAAGGGCACACAACGAATAAAGTTCCTTTCTTATAAATCCGGGAAGGTACGTAATAATTTTTGAACTCAGCCAATTCTGCAAGTCTTTTTTTAACCACTTGGTTGTGGGCAGTCCTTCTATAAGTCTGGAGTGATAACTTGCATTATCCATTACTATTACACAGTTCTTAGGAAGAAGATCTATCATTTGTTCGAACCATTCTTGAAAGACATCAGCGTTCATGTCTTCATGGTAGTCACCGGTACGAGTTGATTCAAAAGTTAATAAACCACCTTCAACAAAACCGTCTGAACTGCCAATGTGTACTATTATCAGCCTGCGTCCCTTTCCTGATGGTGGGTTTAAACCAGTAGATAAGTTATTTACAAAAGCGTGCCTTTGACTTGTAACAGTTTCATCCTGCCAAAATTTACTTGGTGTATGACCCTCGTTGATCCATGTTTCATCAAGATAAAATATTTTTCTTTTTTGGTTTCTCATTTCCTTTATGGTTCTTAGAAAATGTCTTCTCCATATGACAATATCGCTTCTTTCTAATAAAATAGACTTTCTGGGATTCTTTTTCCAGCGGAAGCCTATTTCTTTTAAAAGTTTCCATAACGTACTTCGACTCATTTCTGGGTAATCCTTATCATCTCGAACTGAGACAAGAACTTTATCCAATGTTGGAAATTCTTGTCTAAAGAAGAATTCATGCACTTTCCGTCGAAGTCCTTCTTTAAAATGATATTCTATTTGAAATTTTGGTTTCCCTGGAGCATTAAGTGGCATTTGAAAACTACCACATTTCTCTTCTTTAATAACTCTGTAAATCGTAGATTTCCCAACACCAAGTGTACTGCTAACTAACTCAACGGTCTCATCAACACTTTCACATAAACGTTTGTCTGTAAATGATTTAAAACAATTAAATATTAATGTTTTTTCATTAACTGTTAAAGGACCAATTTTTCGGCGTTTACACGGCACTTCCAAAATTTCCATAACACTAGTATACACAATAAACTGCACCTTGCAACTGAAGTACCTACTTTTAGTGAACTGTTAAGAATTTTGAATCTTCTTTTGGACCTTCCTACAAAATGGAAAAACCCACTATCACATTTTCTGTGGAATAAGTTTAGAAGGTAATTATCTAGTCAATTACTGTCGTAGATTCCTGGAATTAAAGAATTAAATGTTTGATTGTTGAAACCCTTACTTCGTGGAATGCACTCATTTCAGATAAAATAAAACGTTTTATTTTATCTAAAGAATTAAACTTTATTTTGCAAATAGGTAGGTACTTATTAAACTTTTATTGATTATATATAACCAATAAAATAAACCTCTTACATTTCTTGCAAATTCATTAGTACCTGTTAACCTCCATCACTCCGACACTGGCAACCTTATTTAGGGATTAGTAACCCTCACAACTATTGTATTCTATTCTGCTCCAACCTTTATACCTGGTGGTCATACTCAATTTAAAATTGTTTTCCTATATACTTCAGTAAACTTGTTGACAAATATCTGTTTTTCATTGAGTCACCCGTATCAACAGTTTAGGGATTTGCATACATAATTTATTGTTTTATTACTCTCTCATACATAAAAATACACTATAATTCTGGGACTCCGAAAAAGATGCAAAAAAGTTTACCACTTTTACCACGCGCTTCCCCCTAAAACCATCCTTGGAAGGGGACATAAAAAATGTAGCTGAGGTAATTTAAAAAACAAAAATGTTTGATGTAGAATGAACCGTTCTCTTAGAAACAACGCTTGAAACGACCGTCGATTTTGCATGTCAGTTAAGCGCGCGAAATCAATGTTCAATAAATTTTGTATCAGCTCGACGGTAAAAATTCGATATCTTTTGATTCAAGTGACCTATCGACAAAAATCAAGATGCGTTTTAAAGGTAAAGAGTTCAGCTTTCGTATTTTTTCGCAAATAAACTCAGATTTTATATAGATGTTAAATAAATAAACGTGGCGCGATTTTTGCCATTTTTTATTATTCTCACGAGATCAATATAATCTATCCTTTTATTTGACTGGCCACTATGAATTTTTTGTTCTTCTTCTTAGAGTGCCATCTCCCTACGGAGGTTGGCAATCATAATGGCTATTTTTATTTTAGAACTTGCTGCTCTAAACAAATCAATCGATCTGCATTGGTACCAATCATGTAGATTCTTTAACCATGAGTTCTGCCTTCGGCCAACAGATCTTCTTCCTTGAATCTTTCCCTGTATTATCAGTCTCAAAATTTCATATTTTGATCCCCTCATCACGTGGCCTAGGTATTCCAGTTTCTGGTTTGTATAGTGGTGATTAGTTCTGTTTCTTTACCAACCCTCTCCAGTACTTCTTTATTTGTAATTCTATCAGTCCATGATATTTTCAATACTCTGCGGTATAACCAGAGTTCGAAGGCCTCGATTCTTTTTAAATTACATTTTTTTAATGTCCAAGTCTCAGCTCCATATAATAATATTGAAAATATATAACAGCGAATGGTACGTAGTCTGATCTCCAAATTTAGATTTTTGCACGTTAGGAGTGGCTTCATTCGTATAAATGCTGATATGGCAATCTCTATTCGTCTGTTTATTTCTACAGTATGATCATTGGTTTCATTGATCAAAGTTCCCAAATACTGATATTTTTCTACTTGTTCTATCACGCTCCCATTGATTGTCAATAGGTGATGTATATTTTGTGGCCTTTTTGTAATCAGCATGTACTTCGCTTTTTTGGCGTTTATAGTAATTCCCATCTCAGCACTATTTATACTCAAGCTTTCGATAAGATGTTGTAGATCCTCTATACTCGTTGCTATGATCACAGTGTCGTCTGCATATCTTAAATTATTAATTAATTTTCCGTTAACGGTGACTCCCACTTCGATATTATTGAGCGTGTTTTGGAAAATTTCTTCAGAATATAAGTTAAACAAAAGTGGTCTAACTTCTCTACAGATCCTCATTTCTTCTGAGTGTTGCCCATCAATTTGAACTATGGCACTTTGGTTCCAATATAATGTTTGCACTATATTTATGATTTTACTGTCAATGCGCTTGTTCCTAAGTATTGATATCAGTTTTTCATGTCTTACTTTATCGAAAGCTTTTTCGTAGTCAACGAAGCACAAGTGTAGATCAACATTCACATCCCGACATCGCTGAATTAATATGTTGATGGCAAATAGTCCTTCTCGAGTACCCATTCCATTTCGGAACCCGAACTGCGTCTCGCTAATATCCTCCTCTAGCCTTTCGTATATTCTCTTATGTATTATTTTTAGCAGAACTTTTAAAGTATGACTCATGAGGCTCAGTGTTCGATAATCAGAGCACTCTTTTGCTGCTTGTTTTTTAGGGATGGTTATAAATGCTGACTTTAGCCACTCCTGTGGTATTATT